GAAAGGAGATGCCACCTGAACATTAGGAAGAATTTCCTGACTGTGAGAGCTGTTCAGCAGTGGAACTCTCTGCCTCGGAGTGTGGTGGAGGCTCCTTCTTTGGAAGCTTTTAAACAGAGGCTGGATGGCCATCTGTTGGGGGTGCTTTGAATGCAATTTTCCTGCTTCTTGGCATGAGGTTGGACTGGATAGCCCACGAGGTCTCTTCCAACTCTATGATTCTATGACTCATATAATGCACTTCTATGCAACGTCGATGCGGCCTGAAATTCAGAGATTTAGCCCAAAGCAGAACACATTTGCCAGTGTGTCATGTCTCCTTGTTATTGTTGTTTTTAATTACCCCCACCCCCGCTTTCCCCTTCTTGTCACATATTCTGTTCAAACCCACCGGGGACAAAGCAACGTGCAAGCCTCTCCTTGCCTTTCATCACCTGATTACCACAAATGTGTTCTTATGGCTACTGAATGTGCAATGCAAGCGGGTTTGGCGCTAATCAAGTGCAGCTTTCTGGGCCCTTTGGGAAGAAAATAGGGATGGTGATGACATGCGGCCAAAGCCACAAGGGAGAGAGAGACCGTGCGCTCAAACTGTGCCGAGATCAGGAAACAGACCCCAAAGAGCAGTGTTTCTCATTCTTCGGCCCCTTAATAGTTCCTCATGTTGTGGTGACCCCCAACCATAACATTATTTTCATTGCTACTTCATAACTGTAGTTTTGCTACTGTTATGAATCGTAATGTAAATATCTGATATTCAGGATGCATTTTCATTCACTGGACCAAATTTGGCAGAAATACACAATATGCCCAAATTTGAATACTGGTGGGGTTGAAGGGGATTGATTTTGTCATTTGGGAGTTGTAGTTGCTGAGATTTATAGTTCACCTACAATCAAAGAGCATTCTGAACCTCACAAACGATGGAATTGAACCAAACCTGGCACACAGAATTCCCATGACCAAGAGAAAATACTGGAAGGGTTTGGTGGGCACTGAGCTTGAGTTTTGGAGTTGTAGTTCACCTACATTCAGAGAGCCCTGTGGACTCAATGATGGATTTATACCAAAATTGACACGAATACTCAATATGGCCAAATTTGAACGCTGGTGGAGGTTGGGGAAAAGAGACCTTGACATTTGGAAGTTGTAATTGCTGGGATTTATAGTTCACCTACAATCAATGAGCTTTCTGTACTCCACAAACAATGGAATTGAACCAAACCTGGCACACAGAACTCCCATGACCAAGAGAAAATACTGGAAGGGTTTGATGGGCACTGACCTTGAGTATTGGAGTTGTAGTTCACCTACATTCAGAGAGCACTGTGGACTCAATGATGGATTTATACCAAAATTGACACGAATACTCAATATGGCCAAATTTGAACGTTGGTGGAGGTTGGGAAAAAGAGACCTTAACACTTGGGAGTTGTAGTTACTGGGATTTATAGTTCATCTACAATCAAAGAGCATTCTGAACCCCACAAATGATGGAATTGAATCAAACCTGGCAAACAGAACTGCCATGACCAACAGAAAATACTGGAAGGGTTTGGTGAGCACTGAGTTTTGGAGTTGTAGTTCACCTACATTCAGAGACCACTGTGGACTCAATGATGGATTTAGACCAAATTTGGTACAAATACTTAATATGCCCAAATTTGAATGCTGGTGGAGGTTGGGGGAAATAGACCTTGACATTTGGGAGTTGTAGTTGTTGGGATTTATAGCTCATCTACAATTAAAAAGCACTCTGAACCCCACCAACGATAGAATTGGGCCAAACTTTCCACACAGAACGTCCATAAGCAACAAAAAATACTGTGTTTTCTGATGGTATTTGGTGACCCCCACCCCGACATCCCCTCGCAATACCCCCCCCCCAGGGGTCCCGACCCCCAGGTCGAGAAGCACTGCAAAAGAGGAACACAATTGTCGACTGGGAGCGCTAGTTGAACATCCCCATGTATCCTTTGAAACAGTACTATCTTTTCTATCATTGGGTTGTTGTAGGTTTTTCCGGGCTATATGGCCATGTTCTAGAGGCATTTCCTCTGAGGATGCTTGCCATAAATGCAGGTGAACGTCAGGAGAGAATGCCTCTAGACCATGGCCATACAGCCCGAAAAAACCTACAACAACCCAGTGATTCCGGCCATGAAAGCCTTCGACAATACATTTTTATCATTGTTTATTACTTTCTCTCTGCTACCAACACTTTCCCAATCCCGGCAGAACGTGGCCTACTGGGAGTCAATGGGGATCCAAGCAAAGAGATTGGTTTGCAAAGAAAGATCTGGAGTTGTTTAGCTTGGAGAGAAGAGAGAGAGAAAAAACACTACACATGTTTAAGGTCCTCATCACACTAGAGAATGAATCCACTTTAAATCTGGTTGCTGTCTCCTGCAGAATTCTGGGATTTGTAGTTTAGGGGGGAGCCTTTAAAAGCCTCACTAAACTACAAACTCCAGAATTCTGAGGGATTTAAAGTGGATTTATTCTCTAGGCTTCCAAAGGATGTCACACTGAGTAAAAAAGGGAAACTTGTTTTCTCCAGAGACTTTGGCTCCGGGGACGTTATCCCAGGATCTGATTCCAGATTATCTGCTTGGAATATATGAGTCCACACTGCCAGATAACCTGGGATAATGAGATAATCTGGGTTCAGATCCTGGGATAAGGAGACAGTGTGGAAGGGTCCTGAGAGCAAGGAAGTCAAACTCCAGGAAAACATTTAGATCAGGCATGGGCAAAGTTTGGCCCTCCCTCAGGGTGTTTTGGATTCCAACTCCCACAATTCCTAACAGCCTCAAGGCTCTTCCTTTTCCCCCTCAGCCGCTTAGCGGCTGAGGGGGAAAAGGAAGGGGCCTGAGGCTCTTAGGAATTGTGGGAGTTGGAGACCAAAACTTAAGCAGCTGAAGGTGGAAAGAAAGTGGCCTAATGCTGTTAGGAATTGTGGGAATTGGAGTCCAAAACTTAAGTGGTTGGGGGGGGGAGGAAGGGCTCTGAGGCTGTTAGGAATTGTGGGAGTTGGAGTCCAAAACTTAAGCAGCTGAAGGTGGAAAGAAAGTGGCCTAAGGCTGTTAGGAATTGTGGGAACTGGAGTCTAAAACTTAAGCAGCTGAGGGGGAAAAGGAAGAGGCCTGAGGCTGTTAGGAATTGTGGGAGTTGGAGTCCAAAACTTAAGCAGCTGAAGGTGGAAAGAAAGTGGCCTAAGGCTGTTAGGAATTGTGGGAACTGGAGTCTAAAACTTAAGCAGCTGAGGGGGAAAAGGAAGAGGCCTGAGGCTGTTAGGAATTGTGGGAGTTGGAGTCCAAAACTTAAGCTGCAGAAGGTGGAAAGAAAGTGGCCTAATGCTGTTAGGAATTGTGGGAACTGGAGTCTAAAACTTAAGCAGCTGAGGGGGAAATAAGAAGGGGTCTGAGGCTGTTAGGGATTGTGGGAGTTGGAGTCCAAAACTCAAGTGGCTGAGGGGGAAAACGAAGGGGCCTGAGGCTGTTAGGAATTGTAGGAGTTGGAGTCCAAAACTTAAGAGACGGGGAGAAAGGAAAGGGCCGGAAGCTGTTAGGAATTGTGGGAACTGGAGTCTAAAACTTAAGCAGTGAATTGTGGGAGTCAGAGTTCAAAACTTAAGCAGCTGTGGGGGGAAAGGAAAGGGCCCGAGGCTGTTAGGAATTGTGGGAATTGGAGTCCAAAACTAAGCACTGAATTGTGGGAGTTGGAGTCCAAAACTTAAGCAGCTGTGGGGGAAAAGGAAAGGGCCCGAGGCTGTTAGGAATTGTGGGAACTGGAGTCTAAAACTTAAGCAGTGAATTGTGGGAGTTGGAGTCCAAAACTTAAGCTTGCTGAGGGGGAAAAGGAAAGGCACCAAGGCCGTTAGGAATTGTGGGAGTTGGAGTCGAAAACTTAAGCACTGAATTGTGGGAGTTGGAGTCCAAAACTTAAGCACTGAATTGTGGGAGTTGGGAGTCCAAAACCTAAAGCAGCTGAGGGAGGAAAGGAAGGGGGCTGAGGCTGTTAGGAATTGTGGGAGTTGGGAGTCCAAAACACCCAGAGGGAGGGCCAAACTTTGCTCATGCCTGATTGAGAAAACCTTCTTGATGGTAAAGCCGTAGAATATGCTGCCTGTGAGTCTCTTAATCTGGAGTGCTTTTTAAGCAGAGGCTGGATGGACCTCTGTCGGGGGAGCTTGATTGTGTCCCTACAGAGCAGAATAGGGGTTGGGGGTCCCACTCCGATAGGATCATAACAAGCAGTGTTTACAAAACAATCAAAACATAAACACACCCGAGAAAGAGTCCCATGTGAAGGGGGTCCAAAGACTCTCCCTGTCAATCATGAGTGAAAAAGGCATCAAAAAAGGCAAAGGCGCCTTGAAGGGGGGAGATTCCAAGTCCCGAAAGTTTCCTCTAATGCTGTCCATATCAACCGGGAAGGGATCTAAGGAAGGAAGGGTAAGTCCCTAATTCAGTGGGGAAGGGGGTCTTTCAGGAGTGGGTCGGGCCCCCGTATCCGCGCCCCGGTATCCGCGGCCCCCGTCCCTTTGTCTCCTCCGCGGCCGAAGGAAGGAAGGAAGGAAGGAAAGAAGGGAGGAAGGGGGGAAGGAAGGAAGGAAGGAAAGGCGAGCTCCCCCTCCGACGCTTCCTTCCTTGCCTCAACTTTCCCACAAAATGAAACAACCCCCTTTTCCCACCCTTCTCCCCTTTTGCCTCCAAAGCCAGCCGTCCTGCAAAGCGCAAATTTTGACATGTCTTTATTCCAATAAAACTTTAAGACTGCCAGTGTGGCAACTGCTGCAAATGCTCTCTCTCTCTCTCTCCCTACCCCCCCCCCCCAATCTTTCCTCCCCTTGCTCTGGCTTGCTATCTATTGCCTCTCCGAGCGAGTGCGGAGAGCCTGAGCCCGCTCTGCCCGCCCCTGCCTGCCTGCCTGCTTGCCTTTGCTTGGAGCCCGCCCGCCACGCGCCGCCGCTCGGCCTCCCCTGAATGACAGCTTACCTGCATGCCAATCTTCATCAGACTGACACCGGCCTGACAGCGCAGCCTATACTCACTGCCTGGCCCCGGCGCGCGTCAGGCAGGCCACGCCCCCTCCCCGCTCGCAGGCACGCCCCCTCCTCGCACCCCTCCCCTTGCCTTCCGCGGCTTCTTCCCTCTCTATGTCTCCCCCTAGCGGACTCCGGCGGGACTCTCTCTCTCTCTGAGCTTTATTTATTTGTCCTGTCAGGGCAACCAGTCAAATTCTCGATCCAGAAGCAACCACAAGCAGAAGGGACAGAGAGTTTCATCTATGCTGATGATCGTGCCATTACTGCTCAAGCAGGGAGCTTTGAGACTGTAGAACAGAAGCTTTCCGAAGCTCTAGGTGCTCTTACTGCCTACTACAGGGAAAACCAGCTGATCCCCAACCCATCTAAAACACAGACATGTGCCTTTCATCTCAAGAACAGAGAAGCATCCCGAGCTCTGAAGATCACCTGGGAAGGAATCCCACTGGAGCATTGCAGCGCACCCAAATACCTGGGAGTCACTCTGGACCGTGCTCTTACCTACAAGAAGCACTGCCTGAACATCAAGCAAAAAGTGGGTGCTAGAAACAATATCATACAAAAGCTGACTGTCACAACCTGGGGATCACAACCAGATACAGTGAAGACATCTGCCCTTGCGCTGTGCTACTCTGCTGCTGAGTATGCATGCCCAGTGTGGAACACATCTCACCACACTAATTATTATTATTATTATTATTATTATTATTATTATTAAACTTTATTTGTACCCCGCTAGCATCTCCCGAAGGACTCGATGCGGCTTACATAGGCCAAGGCCTCAAAACACAACACAACAATACAACACCTAAAGCAAATTAAAAACAGTTACGCAATATTTACAACAAGCAATAAACAATACATCAAGACACTATAAAACTGGGCCAGGCCAGAGTAATGGGTACAAGATTAAAAGTGCTGATGTGGCAAGAGGTATGTAGGATAAAACAGTGGATGTGGCTCTTAATGAGACATGCCGCATTATCACGGGGTGTCTGCGCCCTACACCACTGGAGAAATTACACTGCTTAGCCGGTATTGCACCACCTGACATCCACCAGGAAGTAGCAGCCAATAGTGAAAGGACCAAGGCAGAGACATCTCCAGCTCATCCCCTGTTTGGGTATCAGCCAGCACGTCAACGACTTAAATCAAGACATAGTTTTCTTAGATCTACAGAGACACTCGTTGGAACACCCCAGCAAGCGAGAGTCCAAAAGTGGCAGGCCCAAACCCAGCACCTCAATCCATGGGTGATACCAGATGAGAGACTCCCCCCTGGGCACACAGAAGACTGGGCGACTTGGAAGGCGCTGAACAGACTGATCCCTAACCCATCTAAAACACAGACATGTGCCTTTCATCTCAAGAACAGAAAAGCATCTCGAGCTCTGAAGATCACCTGGGAAGGAATCCCACTGGAGCATTGCAGCACGCCCAAATACCTGGGAGTCACTCTGGACCGTGCCTACAAGAAGCATTGCTTGAACATCAAGCAAAAAGTGGGTGCTAGAAACAATATCATACGAAAGCTGACTGGCACAACCTGGGGATCACAACCAGACACAGTGAAGACATCTGCCCTTGCGCTATGCTACTCTGCTGCTGAGTGCATGCCCAGTGTGGAACACATCTCACCACACTAAAACAGTGGATGTGGCTCTTAATGAGACATGCCGCATTATCACGGGGTGTCTGCGCCCTACACCACTGGAGAAATTACACTGCTTAGCCGGTCTTGCACCACCTGACATCCGCCGGGAAGTAGCAGCCAATAGTGAAAGGACCAAGGCAGAGACATCTCCAGCTCATCCCCTGTTTGGGTATCAGCCAGCACGTCAACGACTTAAATCAAGAAATAGTTTTCTAAGATCTACAGAGACACTCGCTGGAACACCTCAGCAAGCGAGAGTCAAAAGTGGCAGGCTCAAACCCAGCACCTCAATCCGTGGGTGATACCAGATGAGAGACTCCCCCCTGGGCACACAGAAGACTGGGCGACTTGGAAGGCACTGAACAGACTGCGCTCTGGCACCACGAGATGCAGAGCCAACCTTAAGAAATGGGGCCACAAAGTGGAGTCCACGACATCCAAATGTGGAGAAGAGCAAACTAAACTACAGACCACCTGCTGCAATGCAACCTGAGCCCTGCCACATGCACAATGGAGGACCTTCTTGCGGCAACACCAGAGGCACTCCAAGTGGCCAGATACTGGTCAAAGGACATTTAATCAGCTACCAAGTTTGCAAAATTTGTGTTTTTTTTTCTTTATCTGTTTGTTTGTTTTGTTCTGTTAGAAACGTAATACAATGTCCTGGTTGCGGATGACACGATAAATAAAATTTATTTGTCATGTCAGGGCAACCAGTCAAATTATTTTACATTTCTAACAGAACAAAGCAAACAAACAGACAAAATACAAAAATTTTGAGTTTGGTAGTTGATTAAATGTCCTTTGACCAGTATCTGGCCACTTGGAGTGCCTCTGGTGTTGCTGCAAGAAGGTCCTCTGTTCTGTCGCCGCTGGACCTGAAATGAAGTGCTTTTAAGAGAGGATGTATGGCTTGGATCCAGCGGGAAGCCAGGGGCCCCGAAAAGAAGCCTTTAGAGAATTCTCCCTTATTAAACAGTCTTTATGAGGCTTGAGCTTAAATATAACAGTCTTTTATTGATGAACAAACAGGAATTGTAAAACTTTCTTAACAGTCTCTTGGCTCTTGCAATCTTGTTCACAGGGAACAGGCACTATCTTCAAAAACCTTGTTTAAAGGAAAATTTCCCTTTCTAGCTCCTCCCAGGCTGCTGTGAACCTAAACCTTATTGATGTGGATTCACTGAACTGTGTCTCAACGCCGAGCAAACCTATCAAAAGGCTTGTAATCATTTGCTGCTTTGATGGTTAGAGCTGTTATTCCCTCCGGAATTCCTCAGGGCTGTAAGGCTGTTTCCCCGGAACCTTTGGGGATCTTTAGAGGCTCTCAAGACTGTTCTCCCCCGGGAAGTCTTAAAGGACGAAGCCTTTGCACAGGAGGACGTCTGTATGCATCCTCTGCATTGACTTCCTTTTTGAGACTAACTGAAAAATGTCTCCTTCCCTCCAAAAAACCCAGAGAGGGGTGGGACCAGGGATCCTAACTATAATAGACAGGTCGTTTGCCCTATGATTGCAAACTATAACAGGAAGCCACCCTTCTGCAAAATCCCAAGCCTGGGATTGCAAACCAACATTTAATTCAAAGCAAATAAAATTGGAGCTCCTGGAACAGCTGTTCCAGAACATCCTCCATTGTGCATGTGACAGGGCTAAGGTTGCATTGCAGCAGGTGATCAGTGGTTTGCTCTTCTTCACACTCGCATGTCGAGGATTCCACTTTGTGGCCCCATTTCTTGAGGTTGGCTCTGCATCTCATGGTGCCAGAGCGCAGTCTGTTCAGCGTCTTCCAAGTCGCCCAGTCTTCTGTGTGCCCAGGGGAGTCTCTCATTTGGTATCAGGCATTGGTTTGAGCCTGCCACTTTTGGACTCTCGCTTGCTGAGGCATTCCAGCGAGTCTCTCTGTAGATCTTAGAAAACTATTTCTTGATTTAAGTTGTTGACGTGCTGGCTGATACCCAAATGGGATGAGCTGGAGATGTCTCTGCCTTGGTCCTTTCGCTATTGGCTGCTACTTCCCGACGGATGTCAGGTGGTGCAATACCGGCTAGACAGTGTAATTTCTCCAGTGGTGCAGGGTGCAGACACCCCGTGATAATGCGGCATGTCTCATTAAGAGCCACATCCACTGTTTTATCGTGGTGAGATGTGTTCCACACTGGGCATGCGTACTCAGCAGCAGAGTAGCACAACGCAAGGGCTACTGTGTCTGGTTGTGATCCCCAGGTTGTGCCAGTCAGCTTTCGTATGATATTGTTTCTAGCACCCACAACCAAAAGAAAACACTAGAAGGGTTTGGTGGGCATTGACCTTGAGTTTGGGAGTTGTAGATCACCTACATCCAGAGAGCACTGTGGACTCAAACAATGATAGATCCGCATCAAACTTGGAACAAATGCTCCATATGCCCAAATGTGAACACTGGTGGAGTTTGGGGGAAATAGACCTTGACATTTGGGAGTTGTAGTTGCTGGGATTTATAGTTCACCTACAATCAAAGAGCATTCTAACCCCCAGCAACGATAGCATTGGGCCAAAACTCCCACACAGAACCCCTATGACCAACAGAAAATACTGTGTTTTCTTGTGGTCTTCTCGACCCCTATAACCCCCCACTTATGACCCCCTAGGGGTCCCAACCCCGAAATTGAGACATACTGCCTTAAGACCATCCAGTCCAACTCCCTTCACCAGGGCAAGAAAACGTAATCAAAGCCCTTTTGACAAAGAGCCATCCAGCCATAGATATAGATAGGTATATATGATTCACACACACTTACACATATATATGTATATGACAGATATAATATCATAGATTTGAAAGGGACCTTTAAAGAAGGACAATAATAATAATATTTATTTATTTGATCAGTCATATGACCATTTCAAAATAGAACACGAGTAAAACAAGGCAAACAATCATGGAAACGCACTGAGAGACCTTGGTAGAGTCCTAAAATCATAGAATCATAGGATAATAGAGTTGGAAGACGCCACATGAGCCATCTACTCCAACCCCCAGGCATGCAGGAAAAGCACAATCAAAGCCCCCCCAATAGATGGCCATCCAGCCTCTGTTTAAAAGTTTCCAAGGAAGGAGCTTCCACCACATGTTACCAGCTTGGAAAACCCCATGGCAGCTCCACTTTTAGGGCACCTCTGTGTCATTTTATGCAGCCTCCACATCACGTAATGCAACTCCTTTATCTTTAGGCATCATGATGATTAGAGCTGATGGGGGTTGTGACGCAGTAACATCTGTAAGGTTGTAGTTTATCCATCTTCAACCTTGCCCCAACATCAAAGCCACAAGTGCTGTTGAGTTGCGGTTCCCATTATCCACAGTCCTTATGGTGGATAATAATTCAACATGATGGAAGTTGT